AGTGTTACTATAGTTTGAGTTCTCTGTATTTAAAGTTATATTTTTGACTGTAAATACAGATTTTAAATATTTGGGAATTTTTTAAATGTTGGCATTACCTAAAGGGTAGATATTTTAAGTCTTACTAAATTAAGTTTCCAGTTTTACTAAGCCTTAAAATAGCCAATATTCCTAAACTCCATATATCAAATCACAGAACCTAAGGAGGAAATCATATGCAAGTATAACTATATAAATTCCTTTAAAAATAAATTCCTCTTGGTAAACATTTTTTTCTGATTTAGGTTTGGTTCTCAATGAAGCTGCAAAAGACTTTAGTAATTTGGAATTTTTACCTTCTCTATTTTTATATTAGAAAGAAAATTTTAATGCCTTATTTTTTTTCCTCTGATGGGAAGAATCAGAGTCTGTGGCTTCTTTGCCCCTTGGGGTCCACCGTTTTCTCTGGTCACTGCCTTCTTCCCTGGTCTTTGTCTGCTGGACTGGCCACAGAGGTGCATTCCTCTATTCAAATGAGAGTTCTCATTGTAGTGGTTGGTTCTGAATATTTCTCCCTTTTTATCTCAACCCCCTTGGCCAAATCTATCCATAGAGATCATTTATATTATTTGTTGACCCCTAGGGAATAATAAATTAATATTTATAGTCATAAGTTTTTCTCATGTAGAATCCTGTCCATCTGTGTATGAGTTATACAGTTATTCTGACCCATGAACACTACATCATATATTTCTTACTATTAAAGAATAGAGACTTGATGACGGACAGCCTGTAATACTATGCTTTAAAAGAAATCAAACACTTTTCACCTAATAATATAGGTACTAAAAGGGAGGAAATGTGTTTATAGTAAAAATTTTCTTTTTACAGCTCATAGCAAGTTAAATGTTCCCAATGAGTTCATTACTTTCTTGTGTTTTGGTTATATTTTTTGGCTGCTAAGATTTCGGCTTTAGATCAATGAAATAGCATTCTCTAATTACCTACCATTATAATGTACTGGCTGGGGAAATGAACCCAAGGAAATTAAAGGTGAGACAAGAGTCAGGAAATCTCTATATTTGGCCATATGTATAAAAATATTTTTACTTCAAGAATTTAACTTAATTATGTGTGTGTGTGTGTGTGTGTGTGTGTGTGTGTGTGTGTGTGTGTGTGAATTCTCATTTGCGCTTCAGTTAGAAAGATTTTTCAGTGAGGTTTTGCTGTCTATTAGGGACGGTATCTACAGTGGCTATAGAAGTTTTTCTAGCCAGGAGAATTCACAGCCCAGGTGTGAGGGAGGGATCGGAGCAGCTGAGGCAGAAGAATCTGGCCAGTGTTGCCTCTGACGCAGCTATCTCATGTACCTCTATGTCCCCATACGTCAGAAGCAATAAAATGTCATAGTGGCCTTGCACTTGTACGAGGTAGGTTTCTGTGAGTGTTTTCAAAAGTAAAGGTGAGATATTTGTGCCTAACCTAAAAAGGAGAAATTATAAATATGGTTTCGCTTACTGAGATCTCAAGTTGAAAATACCTACTTCTCTGAAAAGTACTTATTACCAAACACTGCATTTTGTGTCATTTCATACAATAACCTCATCAGGAAGAGATGATTAATTGCCCATGATATAGATATGGAAGCTGAGGGTTGGGCAGACTGAATAGCTGGTTTAGAACTTCACAACATGGATAAAAATGTTAAATATGCCAACATTTCTTTTTAATGGTACTCTGGATTCATCAGTGATGAGCTCTCCTCTGGGAACACAAGTCAGACTTGAAAACATGATGAGAACCAATGATAACAACAGTGTCATGGTAAACACGACTCAGCTCTTTACATGAACACATGTAATCATCACAACACTGTATTTGGAGGGGGTTATTTTATATATTTTACATCCTTCATTTTGTACATTTTTTTATCTCAGTTGTACTCCCTAACAACACTATTTTTGTCTCCCATTTAAAAATGAGGAAATGTGGAAAACTAATCACAGAGAGGTTAAGTAACTTTCCAAGTGTGCACAGCTAATAATTTGTTGATGCTGAGATTTAACCCAGAGCGCTCATATGCAGTCTATGCTTATAACCATATTCTTCAGTCTGTGTCCTAAAAAGAAACCTGGACTACGCTGAATCACCTGGGGTCAGCCATCACCTAGCATGAAAGCCTGAAGGACAGCTACTATGATGTTACCCAAACAACAGAAGCAGGGAGGGGGGCAAAGTTGCAGGAGGAAGGGTGTCTTTCTTTCTGCTTACGCCTTTGACTATGCTGTGCAGACTGGGGGGGGGGGGGCTGAAGAGGGGGATAGGGACTGCTGCAGAAGCTGGTCCCTCCCATGCCTCCTGCTTTGTGTCACCTTCCAGCAAGTACTGTGTGTGGCACTGAAACTCCCCGTCACACTCGGAAGCTCCCAATTTACAGGAAACTGGCCAGGAGAACCTAACACAGAGCAAATGAAGACTTAACCTATCACCAAGTCAGAAAGGTTGCTGACTGGTGGCTAGAAGCCAGCCCTGGGAAATCCACATTACGCATTTCTGAGACATTGTCTTTATCCTGGGTGGTTTCCTCCCACCTCAGCTAGTTTTGCATTGAAGTGGAAAGTGTGTTAAGACACCCATTAAAGAAACAGACCCAGGGAACTTGAGGCTTTCAGAACTCCCCTAAACACAAATAATCCAGTGTTTCAAGGCAAAAGGTAAAAATCCATTGCTGACCGCGGTTACTTCTGCTCTCAGAGGTTACCTCTGTGGACAGTATTACACCAGGTATCTATTAAGTTCATTCATTGGTAGCATAACAGCTGTCCTCACTTTAAAATGTATGGTGTGTTTTTAATATAAATGCTGGTCCTATCAAAGATATGTCGAAACTCACTAAGCAATAAGTTTTTCTTGAAGATGAATCACTGGTGGGTGACTTAATCTTTTCATATACTTCTTTGTTGAAAACAACAGTTAATTGAAGATTTTGTTGTTAAAAAGCACTTTATATGCAGTCTCCATCTAAAATGACCGTTTTAAATTGCAACAATTGAATGCTCAGAGCAGTGATGATGATGGGCTGATGGAATGACCAGTGCCAATCAGTTGAACGTCTCACTTGGAACTCTTGAAATCTCAGAACTCCCCAATCTTAGCAGAATGGCTCCAGGCAGCTAGGGTTCCCCTCTCACTGGGAACCAGCTTACCAGTTCCACTTACCAAGACTGTGAGAATCGTGTAACCTCCCTAAATTCAGTTTCCTTTTCTGTGCAATGAGGATAACAGTAAAGGTTGTTGTGAAGAGTAAATGAGAGGACATGTCAATCATGCACGCGTGTGTTTAGCATGGTGCCTGATGCAGCTGCTGCTGCTCTCCTGGTTCAGCACATTAGCAAGTAGCCTGGAGAGATTCAGGACCCACCGCTGGTCTCAGGTTCACATCTCCAAATCCCTCACCCTCCTGTGCTCTGCCTACTGTGAATACTTGGGGAGCGGGGTGGGAGCCGGGGATTTGTTGACTGGTATTGGATTCCTCTAACAGCTGCCCTGCTGGGATCCACCATTGCCTCTTGATCCTTTCAGTAAGCCCTTAAATCTTTTAACCAATCTGGTTGCCCTTTTTTGAACTTGATCCAATCTAAATAAACCCGTAGTGCCTATGAAATTCACAAGTAAGCTTCGTAATACAGTACAGGGTGTTCAGAGTTTTATGAGGCAGGATTAGGCTCACCCTGCCACATGGGGTAGTTATGTGGGGGTGAACCCGAATGGCATCCATCTTCATTAAAGTGATTGGTATGACAGACCCATAGCGAACACGTCATCCACTGCCTTGTCTGTGCTCAGTCATTTCTGCTTATAGGTTTCTTTCACTCACATAAAAACACAAAATATCTCTCCCTTTCTTTTCTTACACATATAAAAGGAGCTGTAGAGCTCAGGCAGATATCTATTACAGTCAGTTTACGCAGGGGCCTTCTCTGGTGGTGCAACGGGTTAAAGAGCAGCACTACAAAGTTAGCCGCAGTCATTTCAGCCCCTGTTCTATCCCGGTCCAGGGAGGTGACCCACAGGGCGCGGCAGACCTCTCCTGACTCGCCCGCTGCTCCCCTCAGCAGTGTACTTTGTTGATCTGCCTGTTCTGCTCCCCACTCTCTCCCTGGTGAATCCTCTCACTGCCCCTGCACCCCTGGCCTGTACCCCAGTTCTGTATGCATAAATAAGTTAATGTTAAAAAAAGTCCAGATAATTTTAAAATCATATGCCAGTATTATTCCAGATACTACACCATAGTAAGATTTCCCTGCGATGTGTGCATATTTCATACTTGCCCAGTACCTTCCATTGGGCAGTGTAAGTGCAGCCCAGGTAGCAGTTGCCACCTTCTGACTTGTGAAGGGTTCAACTTCTCATGTTAGTGTGTTTTATGCTGAAGAAGATATTTTCCTTTGACATTATCCAAGTGAACACAAGTTCACAGCGGAAAGGCATGGAAGGAGATGGCTGACATCTGGCTGCATAGTCTCTCTGAATCACAAATTAAACATGGTTATGGGTGGGACTCTTCTTGAGGGAAGATAACATGTTATTTGTAACATGAACCCAGCAAAGGCTACCCAGAAAGTGAGGTCGGTTGGAGTTTTTTGTTGTACCAGTAAAATAATTGAGGGTTCCTCACAAAGAATCCTAAGAATACAAATTCTATAGTTAGATTTTCTGTAAGTGAATGTAAGGAAGGAATCAGGCTCATTCTTACAAAGCCCGTGGCATGTGTTACTAAAGCGTCCTGTTTGCTGTCGTCTGTGTACCCGCCTAGCGAGTGGGACGCTCCCAGATGTCGTAGTTCACTGGCGCCCCCTTGCGGTATCCAAACTACCTCACATTGGGTGGCCCTAAGACCCCGGCATTAAATGAGGCAAATTCAATTTCCAGGGGTGGAAAATTAACCTCCAGAATTGGAAAACATACTCGTCTTTCAGATTTTCTTCACTCTTCTTTCTCACTTTCTCATTTTGTTTTAGGCCAAAGAACTGCCAACTTTAAAAGATAATGATTTCATCAATGAGGGCCAAAAGATTTATATTGATGACAACAACAAGAAGGTGTTCCTGGAAAAACTAAAGAAGGATGTGGAGGTAAGAAAAATCATTCTCAAGAAACACCCCGTTGTAAAACTGTCAACACTGCTGGCTTTCAGGAGCTTTCGGAACCACCTATTTGAACCCGCAGCCAACGCCAACGATATATTTCACCGTATCAAAATCAGATATAAACGGGGGTATCTCATCTTATATGTCTAAAAAAGAAGTGCGCTGGTTCAGCAGCTCTGTGCTCTAGAGGACAGAGCAAACAACGCCTGGGTCGACCGCTGGGCATCCATAATTAAAGCCCAATCTGACTGACTGCCCTTCCGCAGCAGTGGCGGTGGGAGGGGATGATTCATTCTGTCCAACAGCACGGCATTTCAAGAACTAATTTGAATGGGAGCTTTTTCCCTTCAGAACCACATCCCATTGTTGGTAAACCCAGACTCGAGTCACTTTTAATATCTCCACCGATCACCACTAGGTTAGTCCGAGGAGGCAGCCCTTCAGGCAATGTGGGCGCCGGGAGGGTGGAGAGAAATAAAATGCTCCGTGGAGATGGCTGTCAGCCCATCAGGAAGGAGTTTGCTTTTGTTTGTTTTGTTTGGGGAAGATGTACCTTCTCCTGTCCTTTTGTTTGTGGTAAAGGTATTGTAGCGCTTCTATTGAACTTCACTATTTAATGCTTTTAGGAATAAATTCAGAAAATAAAATTTGTTTCTGGAAATGTATGATGTTACAGGATAATGCCAGGAGAATTCTGATTGGCACAGTTGCGAAGTTTTTCTTAGATGTCACTTTTGTTTGTGTGTGCTTTTTTTGTTTTATTTTTACTTTGAGATACTGTTCTGCGTGTACCGATTTAGACTGATATGTAGAGAGAGGCTGTGGAGAAATTTTCTTTCTTGTGTCATTATACAAAAACAAGTAAAATGACTTGAGCCAAAGAAGGGGTATCATCTGTTAGACTGTGTCCCCCAGAGGGCAGACCAGCAGTACAATTTCTTTTGTAATCTTCTAATAGCATTTTTATTGTAAGACACTCAGACTGATGAAGTCATCTCATAATTACTTTTAGGTCATGTTAATTTGAATTAAAAACTTACTTTTAAAAAAATTTAGTTTCAGGGTACAGCATAATGATTCTGTATGTGCACATGTTATGAAATGACCATAGCAGTTTTTTCTTGTAACAGGAACTTTCAGGATCTAATGTCTTAGTAACTTGCTGATGTGCAATCCAGTTTTATCATCTGTAATCCCCATGCTGTATATTACATTCCCAGGACCTATTTATTTTACCCGTTTGACCCCCTTATTTTTATCCACATGGTATACATAGAACATAAATATTGTTAGTTATGAAGGATGCAGATGTCTACTTTTTTTGAAAAGGAAATAGGAGTGTTTGTTTTTATCATATAATATTTTTCTCCAGTCAACCATTAATTATCATTTGTTTTTCCTCAGCAAATCTTTGGTCCTGAATAATCTTGTTTTAGCAGTTATGGTATATAAGGCAAATAACCTAAGGTTATTTGTGAATGTAAAGAAGTTGTTTTCATCTTTGTATGTGTTGGCTGTATATCACTATGATATTTAGACTCCAGAAATAATGTCACTGAAGCAGTTCATATGTACAGTTGAATTACATAAGGATCCTCTTAGCTCTTGTTGTCCTAATAATGCTGTTGATTAGAAGATTAGGATAGTTTAATCCCATCCATGGCTCTTGTATGTTCTGTTTTGTTGAAATGGAGGCAGGGCATGAAGTGTTCTTTTATTAAAAATATTCTCAACAGTTGATAAAGGTCTCTTTAGTTTTGAAATTCATGCAGAAGCATCATTAAATTTCTAAACAAGTAATTATGGTGAAGTAGCTTGACATCTGATCTTGATAATGAGGCTAGAATTTAATCTAGTTTAGTATTTTCATCAGTTTCATGCTTTTCTAATTTAGCTGACTGGCTTGTTAGTTGGAATACAATTTTTTTTTTAATTTTGTGGTTTCTTTTCTGCTTATGGCTTGAAGCAAAAGATGAATTTCTTATAGCTCCATAATCTTTTTTCTTTTGAAAAATGAAAGCATTGTCATTTAAGAATCTAGCAGCTTTTTCTCTCATTTTGAGCTCTTGTTTCTGTTCGTAGGCAGAGTTCTTTAATTTAATAGATAGCTTTGCTCATAGCTCAATTATGTAATCTCTTCCTCCCAAAATAAGCGCTGTATGGAGCGTGAGCATCACTGTTGGTTTCTGACTGTTTTTTGTCCTTTCTAATCATGACCACGGAGAGCTGACACTGAATTCTCCTCTCAGTGGCTCCCACTGAGATCCAGTTGTCACACAGGACGAAACTGTGCTCATGCTCCGATGCCCAGGAGTGCCCTGTCTCAGGGCCTCCCCACCCTCACATCTATGGTCTGACAGTGTTGGAAATGTGAGAGGGGTGAGGTGCTACCATCGGGCATGCATATAAGACCACAGGTGCCGATCACAAATGGTCGCTGGCACCCAACATTTAGGGAGCAGGTGAGTCCCGAGTCCTTCTTTGTTCTCTTTTCATTTTTAAAACAATGCCTGTGGGTGAGTATCATTACTACTTTATCCCAGTTTGAAAGAGGAGAAAGCCAAGCCCAGTGTCGCGAAGTTCGGTTCACAGACACTCAGTCACCAAGTTCAGACTGGGATTTCAGCTCATTGGCTTCCACACGCCTACTTGTGCTGACATAGAATGCAAATTTAAAGTGTTTGGGAGAGCACAGTTCAGACTTTGTTTTCTAATAAATGCTTCAAGGAAGGATTAGACTTTTAACAAGTGGTAAAATCTAACTGTTAAATAAGGCTGGTTGGAATTTTAATTCTCTATCCCAAATGCATCGGGAGGTAGGTGGTATTTCAGTAAGAACAAACATATTAATAAAATTAGCAAGTGAAGTTCATTTAAATCTGTTGTTAAGGAGAATTAGCTGCTCTTTTGCCACATGATTTTCTGGAAGAATTTGTGACAAGCTTATAAAGATTTTGAGGAAGATACTAGCTGAAAGATTAGGCATAATGAGGAATTAATCAGATTAGGTGGGATATTCTGAGGGGAAAAGAAGCAGATCAAAGGTCTGGCAGGTAATTAGTTATTAAGAAATCAAAAGGAGGGGATCTAACAATTACAAAGATTTAAAAATCTTTGTGCCTTGAAATCGTATGAAAAACATCAATAAATTTGGTCAGAAGCTTAAAGGGATAAACAGAAAAGGAGTAAATGTGTATTAAGTTCTTAACATGAGCTGAAAGCAAACACTAGAGAGCCCCTTGACCCCTTTCTCTCCTCCAATCCAAAAGCTTCATGTCCACAGTTTGGTGAGACCCAACAGGAATTTTTCTCTAATAAGAATTTTGGCTTCATTACATAGTACCTCAGTTCACTCTACTTCAGAAGAGATTCAAAATAAAGTTTGTGAAGAAAAAAGCTAGAAAAGCAACCGCTTTTCCCATATATTTCTTCTCTTGGCCTACCTCAGAGGAGCCCTCTCCCAAGTTTCAGTTTCATATTTGATGCAAGAGAGGGCCCTTTTCCCTGATCACGATGCCATGGACAGTCAGCGTACAGCTTCCATTGTGGCAAGCACCTCACGTTGCCTCCCTTACGTTATCTCTTCCTGCACACCCTGGGGTGTGTTATCCCACTTTGTAGTTAGAACGATGCAGACTCTGAGAGATGGGCTCATTGTCAAGACCCCAATGAGTGAGAAAAGTAAGATTTATCTCCCATCTGACTCCAAAACCTACACCTTTGTTAAATTGTCCAATACTTCAGTTAAAGAATAAGTGAGTCACCACCCTTTGCCACAAAGCCAGATGGAACTGCAGTTGGTCTCCTCAATCTCTTTGGATATGTCAGAATAGCTTCTTAAAGATGCGTTTTTCCCTTTTACTGCTGGTTAGTGGTGGTGCTGGGAGCTGGCTGTACTTTTCTATATCAAATGCAAGCTTTTCTTTATTGGAGGAGGAACCTAAGTGTCAGTCTGGCCGGGGAACAGTGGCAGGGCCAGAAGAGCAAGCAAGAATAGAGTTTAAGAGACCCCAGAGATGGATGGCCAAGCTTTCCAAGACCCTAGGCCATGTTAGAATTCCTTTCTGCTCTTAAACACATGGGACGCCATTGAAAGGTCTTAAACAGGGGCATGACAGAGTCAAATTTGTATTTCGGAAGGGCTTTCCTTTCCAGTGGAATGGAGGGAGAAGTTGGACCCCACTTGATCTCCACCACTTCCCAGAGACCTCCCAAGTGCAGAGGGAACAGGGATGTCCCTTCCCTGCCACCACACAAACTGAGCAGGACCCAGCCTACCCAAGCCCCCACTGACAGAGCCAACGCTGGACTGGGGAAATATTGCCACCTGGAGGTGCAGGAACTCTAGCCGCTTCCAGGATGGGTTGTGGGGAGAAGGACCTGGGGGACACCCTAGATAAGGGACACCATGCCAACCCTGGGAGGGGCAGAAAAAGACTTTCGCTTTGTTCTCTAGAGGTGTGAGGCTGAGCTCCACCCCTGCAAGCCTCTGGGAGGCATGGAGCCCCAGGTAGAGAAGTGGAGCTACTAGTGAGTATGGTGCCCGAGTATCTGTACCCTCCTGGGGTCAGAAATAGGACTGGGTGCTTCTGATGCTGCTGGCGGGCACCACCAGAGATCCGGCGACTAGCAACTTTGGGAGGTGCTTCTCAGAAAGCTCAGAAAGCACTTGATCTTGTTGAATTCACTATTTTCCTACTCCTGTGTGAAAAGCAAGATTTGGGGAAAGCCCCCTTGATGCAGCTTTCATAGGCAACATGATATAGGGCAAGTAACAACACCTTTGAACAGACATTCCTAAATTTACCACTTTAGAGCTTTGAATCCTAGGGCAAGGTTTTTTTGTTTGTTTTGTTTTGTTTTTTTGTTTGTTTGTTTTTGCTTTTAATCTTACTGAGCCTGTTTACTGTATAGAGTCGGATGCCGGCCACCTGCCAGGCTACCTGTCTGCGAACCCGTAGCACTTAATTCTCTCCCACAACCACAGACCTATGTGGAGCAGGGCAGGTAACAAATCACAGGTGGACTGTGTCGCCAGCACCATGTTGGCTGCAGGATTCAAGCACTTCATGGTGTTATTATTGTCTCCATTCACAAGCGGTATTTAAAGCATGCAGCGTGATGCTTTGTGCACACATTGTAAAAGTATTCTCTCCCTCAAGTGAACCCATATATCATCTCATATATTTAGCCTCCCCCGCCCCACCCATTTTTCTGGTGAGAACATTAAAGACCAACTGTCTCTGCAGGTTTCAGTCATAAAACACTGGTGTTGACTGGTCATCGTGTTTTACACTGGGCCCTCACACCTTAAAATCATCAGCAAGATTGCACCTTTTACCAACCCTCATTTCTTCCCCAACCCCTCACAACCACCCTTCTGCTTTCTAGTTCAGAGTTTTACTTTTTAAAAAATAAATAGATTCCACATGTAAGTGATAACCATATGGCATGGCTTTCTCCGTTTGGTTTATTTCATTTAATACTGTCCAGATTCATCCATATTATTGCAAATGACAGGATGGCCTCCAAGGCCGTACGTGTCATGTAAATACAGGCAGGCGCTGGGCTGCCACTCGGCTACATCTGAGCAATGCCTCCTTGGGTGATTTTGTTGTGGTGATAGCATCATAAAGGGTGATTCCTCAAACCTGGGTGGTGTAACTTGACCACATCTAAGCTGGATGGTGTAGCTAATGGGAATCACATTTCCTTTACCAACATTTATCCCATGCATGGATACCTAGGGAGTTTCCATAACTACAACCCAACAGCCAGGGTAGGTATATCTTCAAGATAATGGTTTCATGTTCTTTGGATATATACCAGACATGGGACTGGTAGATTGTAAGGTGATTTTTAATTTTTTGGAGGACTGCCAACTGTCTTCCACACTGGGTGCATCACTATGGTCCCCCAGCAGTGCACAAGGGTCCCCTGTTTTCCACGTCCTCACAGCCACCCCGTATCCCTTGTGTTTTTGATAGCCTTCCTAACAAGTGTGAGGGGATATCTCGTGTGGCTCTGATGACCAGTGATACCGAGCACCTTTCATGCACCTGCTGGCCATTCGGCACTCTTCTGATAAAGGGTTTGCTACTCCCATGTTTAAATAAATCAGTTTTGCCCACCTTTCTTAGATAGCTGTACATAAAGATTCATTTATTTTCTCCGCTCAGATCAGATGGAGCAGATTACACCTGTCTCACGGTTGGTGGTGGCCAGGCTGCCCGGGAGCTGGGGTGCACCTTTTGGAGCCATGAGCCCAGGGTCTACATAGAACTGGAGCCTGTGCAGAGGCAGCCAGCTGGGAAGAGGGAAGCATTTAGTTCCAGACGACAGATGGACTGCCTCATTTTGCCTTCGATAATACCATCCACATTTTAATTGGCCAATTAGGATATTATACCTAAGGTCATGTGTCTGGGTAGAGCTACTGAAAAAAAAGGGGGGAGGAAAAAAAAAATCACAACAAAAAAAGTCCAAAAAGAGCTCAGCAGACAGGGGTAGCCAAATCTGTAGCCTGAGCCTTGCCCTCCCCCAGCTTTCTAGCAGGAGAGGCAGGCAAGGAGCTACCCCACAGAAGGCAGCCACCCTCTGCAAGTACAGTCTCCTGGCCTGTCAAGCTCAGGCCAGCATTATTGGCCAAAGCATTGACTCAGGCGCTTGCTGGTCAGTGGGGACTCTGGGGCTTTTAATTATTTGTGACAGACTGCTTAATAATCTCTGTGGTGAGCGTGCTGAATTTCAGCGTACTTTCACAGACTGTTCTGAGAATATGCTGGAAACCACTGAGAGGTCCCATTAGCCAGTTCTGATTGTTGTGAGCAACTTTCTCTTCCCTGCCCCCAGATCTTTCTCGCTAGTCATGCTATCTGCATTTTGGTGTAATTCAATTGTGATGTGTAAAAACGCATGCCTCTCAGCTTCCAGCCTGGCTTTTCAGGGAAAATAATACCAGCTCTGAGCCAGCCCCACGTGGGAGGCCCAGGCTTGGGGCCCTGAGCCCATCACACAGCGAGAAGCTCCGATGCCACCCCTCCCACCTGCATTTTTCTGAACTTGTGTTCTTTACAACCGGGGTTTGTTTAAGGCATTAACTGGTCACGTCATCTCCCACCCTGCAGTTTCTTACCCAGCTGAAGCTCATGGACTACAGCCTGCTGGTAGGAATCCACGATGTGGAGAGGGCGGAGCAAGAGGAGGTGGAGTGTGACGAGGACGGGGAAGACGAAGGGGAGAGTGACGGCGCCCACCCAGTGGGGACCCCTCCGGACAGCCCTGGAAATACACTGAACAGCTCCCCGCCTTTGGCTCCAGGGGAATTCGACCCCAGCATTGATGTTTATGGAATTAAATGCCATGAAAGTAAGTGGAGTTATTAGCCACGTTTTTTCCGTGGTTTGCTTTTTTGTTGTTATCGAGCAGAACCATGACCCCTTATAAAGCCCCCTGGGCCCTCCCTGGTGGTGAAAGGGATTAAAAGCACCTCACTCTGGAGCGCTCCTCAGCCACTGGAGCCTGAGTTTGATCCTCAGCCAAGGAGGTGACCCACATGGCACAGCAGACCTCTCCTGTCTGGTCCACTGCTCCCCTCAGCAGTGTGAAAGTCAATCAGCCTGTTCTGCTCCCTGTTGTCTCTGGTGAATCTTCACACCTCCGTGCACCTCTGGCCTGTACCCCAGTTCGTATATGCATAAATAAATCTAAAAAAAAAAAAAATGTATGCTGCCCTGGAAGACTCCTTCTCCAGAGTCCTAAGAAATTGACTTAGGGGCCGCAACATATATAGAAGATGTTTCAAAGTTACTGCTCTTTTATATGACTCTAAAACATCATGAATCTGTCCCAAGCTGGGACCTACATGGTCCAGCCTGCACATCCTGCCGTCTTTCTGCAGGGCGGGCCTCTCATCACTAACGGCCATTTGCTTCTCCGCGCACAAAGCCAGCCCAGGACGTGGGGTGCATCACTGCCTGTCGCCCCTCCTTAGGGTAGAAATAAGCCTCACCCTCAATATCTGGATGATTGGATCTTTGAAGGAATATTATATTCTATCAGAGCTACTTATACATTTTAAAAAAATGTCTTCAGGGTCTGAGTAATAAGAGGTGTAACTCAGTTTTTTAAAAAAAAAATCTACAATGATATGTCCGCCCAATGAGTTTCAGTTTTGATTTCACTCACCGAAAGTATTTGTTCAACACAGAAAATTAGATACAAACAAGTGTACTTATTCATAATTGAAGCATATTTGTGGGAATATGTGGGTGATAGGAATCACAGAGGATAGGTGCTATATCCAGCTCTGATTTTAGAGCCACTGAGAATTATGAACAGTTACAGATAATGGTAGAAAAGGGCTAAGGAGCATAATTATTTCAACTGGTTTTGTTACAAATTCTTTTTAAAGGTTTATTCATTTATGCATAGAGAACTGGGGTACAGGCCAGAGGTGCAGGGGGGTGAGAGTATTCACCAGAGACAGAGTGGGGAGCAGAACAGGCAGATGGTCAAAGTACACTGCTGAGGGGAGCAGTGGGCAGGC